CTTCGTTTGTTGGGTGGCGGTTCGATCTCTGGTTCGCCACGGTCGCGTGCCGCTGCTCGAGACCTTGTAACGACGAGGGTTTCCTTGCTGTCTTGAATGCTTCGCTCCGAGATGCATTCTACTGGAATAACTCTCTTTAACTCAGGATCTGATGTCGACGCCAATGCGGCAAGTGCATCTGCAGTTGTATTCTCTCCCCGAGGTATACGGATTAATTCAAATTTCAAGAAATTTTTAGATAGATCCTTCACCACTTCGAGGTATGCTTCCATTCTTGAGTCTTTGGCTTCATAGTCTCCATTAAATTGGTTAACTACTAATTGCGAATCGCAATAAGCCAATATTTCCTTAGCTCCAACTCCTTGTGCTAGTCGAAGTTCGGCAATAAGGGCTTCGTATTCTGCCTCGTTGTTGGAGGCACTGAATAACAATCGGAATGATTGTTCTAGAATTTCTGATGTTGGAGACTCCAACTTGATTCCCACTCCTGATCCTTGTTTTGTTGAAGACCCGTCTACGTGTAATTTCCAAGTTTGGTTCTCCGGTTGCTCTATCGTTCCAGGTATTGGTAGTTCGGTCAGAAAGTCTGCTAAGACCTGAGCCTTCATACTGATCCGGCTTTTGAACTCTATGTCGTACTCGCTTAATTCCACCGCCCATTTCGCCAAACGTCCGGACTGACTTAGACTATGAAGTATTGTTCGGAGTGGTTGGTTAGTTAATACTTCAACCGGATGGGATTGAAAATATGGACGCAGCTTCCGAGCCGAAGTTACCACCGCGAGTGCAAGTTTTTCCATCATTGTGTATCTGGTTTCCGGATCCGTCATTGACTTGCTCACGTAGTAAATTGGTTTCTGCTCCCCACGGTCTTCCCGAACCAAGACTCCACTAACCGCGTGGTTTGAGACTGAAACGTACAAGTAGAGTTTTTCATCTTCTTCCGGTTTGGACAGTACAGGTGGAGTGGTTAAGTATGCCTTAAGCTGCCCAAAAGCTTCTTCACACTTCTCATCCCAAAGGAATCCTTTGTTCCCTTTTAGAATTTGGTAGAAAGGCAACGACTTATCTGTTGATCTCGAGATAAAACGATTCAAGGCCGCAATCCGCCCAGTCAACCGTTGCACTTCTTTGAAGTTTCTTGGAGATGGCATGTTGAGAAAGGCGTTAATTTGATTTGGATTGGCTTCAATCCCTCTTTCTGTCACGATATAGCCAAGAAATTCTCCGGATGGGACTCCAAATGTGCACTTCGCCGGGTTCAGCTTCATTTGATATTTATTGAGAATATCAAAACATTCCTCCAAATGTTTAACATGATCTTCTTTCTTCAATGATTTAACCAACATATCATCTATGTAGACTTCCATAGTCTTCCCGAGGTGATTGTGAAACATTTTGTTCACCAACCGTTGGTAAGTCGCTCCTGCATTTTTCAAACCAAAAGGCATTACCTTGTAACAGTAGATACCTCTATCTGTGATAAATGACGTCTTTTCTTGATCGTCGGGGTTCATCATTATCTGATTATAACCCGAGAAGGCGTCCATGAATGTTAACAGCTCATTTCCAGCGGTGGACTCTACAAGTCGATCTATATGCGGGAGCGGAAAACTATCTTTGGGACATGCTTTATTTAGGTCTGTAAAGTCGATGCAAACCCTATCTTTCCCATTCTTTTTCTTGACAACGACAGTGTTTGCTACCCACTCCGGATATTGCACTTCTCTTATGGACCCTATCTTCAAGAGTTTATCCACTTCGTCGTTTACTATTTTTGCCCGCTCCACTCCTAGCTTTCTTCTTTTTTGTTTTACCGGTTTGAAGCTTGGATCCACGTTTAGTTCATGACAAATTATACTCGGATTTATACCAGGCATGTCCGCTGCTGACCATGCAAATGATGCTTTGTTTTTCCTTAAGAGTTCGATCAAAGCTTCTTTTATTTGGCCAGTCAACGTTGCTCCAATTCGAATTTTCCGATCTGGTTTGTCTTCTTCTAATACTACTTCTACTACCACATCCTCTTTTTCCTGCCCACTAGGAAATTTTTGCCTTAGTCCTTCTTTTGCGGGCTTTGTTAATTGCTATTGGATCTTCAAACGGTGGCTAGCTAAGTAACACGTCCGTGAAGCTTCTTGATCTCCTCGAATTGTTTCCACCCCACTTGATGTTGGAAATTTGATACATTGATGGTATGTAGAGGGGACTGCTTTCATCCGATAAATCCAGGGAGTCCCGAGGATGATGTTGTAAGCTGCGGGCTTATCGAAGACAACGAAGTCCACGATCTTCGATACCTTCTTGGCAAGGACCGGTAGCTTGATTGTTCCGAGAGACATGGCTGACTCAATTGTGAACGCAACTAACGGAGATGGGGGTCCTACTATGTCTCCTCGGCTGATTCCCATTTTTTCTAGAGTACTTAAAAAGATCAAGTCGACCGAACTGCCTGTATCTATAAGGATCCTTGATACTTCGAAGTTAGCGACATCAAGAGTAATAACTAGAGCATCATCATGCGGTCTTTCGAGATGCCGCGTTTCTTCTTCGTTAAATGATATTGGGGCACCTTGAAAATCAATTTCTTCGCTCAAACTTGCTTTGAGTAAGACATTTCGCCTATGCTTTTTGATGGAACTTATTGAATCTCCGCAAAATCTAGAACCTCCTAGAATCACATTGATCTTACCCTTCGAACTCCTTGGTTCTTCCTCGTTGGATAATCTTGGTCTTTTGGAATCTTGATCTTTGGAGTTTTCTTTTGCTTCGTGGTATTCCTTCACAAAATCTTTTATATCGAATTTAGAAAGATCGCCACTAGCCCAAAGCTCTGCGAGGTGCTTTTTAAGAACGCTGCAATCCTTGGTTAAATGTCCAGTTACTTTATGAATGTCGCAATATAGATTTTCATCACGGACCCAAGTGTTTGATCTTCCTTTCCCTTGGAATTGTTTCCCGACGGAATTGTTGAAGGGTTGCGACCCAAACTTCCTTGGTCCTTTGCTCTCTCTAGGCTCGAACTTCTTGGTAGGGACGGTGATTGCCGGCTTTTCTTGTTTATTCCGTTTGGCAAAACTTTCTTTTTCGTCTTCTACCTCCATCCAGTTGTTTGCGCGGAAGAGTGCATCCTGAATTGTGTCTGGTTTATGAAGTATTAAGTCTTCTTTAAACCTTGAATCATGTCGCAATCCTTTTCGTAGGACAGATAAAGCTGATTGCTGTGAGATTCTTGGGAGTTTTGACAGTACTCCTTTGAATTTGGTGATGAAAACTCGAAGTGACTCATTAGATCCTTGCGTTAAGTTCCAAAGATCGGCATCCGAAACGCTTTTATCCATAAGGATAGAGTATTGCTTTAAGAACTCGGCTGATAGTTCGTCGAAATTGCTGATCGAACCCGGCTCTAATTGGGTGAACCACATTAGAGCTTGGCCACACAGATTCTCCGAAAAAAGCTTGCAGTAACCTGCATCCTCATCAGCTTCATCCAATTCGACTCTTCCAGCAGCGATCAGAAAAGCTGCGAGATAGCTTTTTGGATCCTCCAATCCGCTGTAAGGGTCCAATTTGAGCTTCCGGGAATCTTTGATCCTCAAACTTGCAATTCGCGGGATAAAACGGGTTCGCCTAGCTTCTTCAATGACTCGATTGATGTCTGGCTCCGAACTTGTAGCCTGATGAAATTTTGATTTCATTTCTTTTAATTCCTGGCTAACCTTCCTCATGGTCTCGAACTGGTCGAGGTTCTCCTGCTCGTACTGAGCTGCAAGTTGTTCTTCATCCCCGAGCTGCGTCTCTTCTTCCGACGTCTGAGCTACATTATTAGTAGCACCGGGAGTTGTTTGTCCGCTGGTTTCATTTCGTGCAGCGGAACTTGGCGAGTTGAATATCCCTCTTCGGATTCCCACCGGGTTTCCTGCACTTAAAGAGCGAACACGAGTTTGTATATTATTGACGTTTTGACTAAGAGATACCTGGGATGTTTGCAACGTATCGACGGCCTTTTCCACATCCGAGAACTTTTGTGATATGTCCGACATGGTTTGCTGCATAGCTTTGAGGGTTTCGGCCAATGATGTCTCAGCGGCGTCTCCTCCGGACATTGTTGCTTATCTCGGAAGTGTGATAAAGAAAAAATCTGACCACTCAAGAACTTAATATCCCCACAGACGGCGCCAAAATGTGGATGTCGGATTCACACACTCAAGTATTTTGTTAAGTGGGAAAGGTTATTCTTGAGGGACAAAAATGAATATGTAAAAAACTTATAAATTGATACGAAAATTGCTATAGTATTTCTCTCTTGAGAGGAAGCTCCTCTTTACATGGCCATTGGCCTCTATATTTATACTCCGATAAATGACATTAAAATGACTAATTAAGCACAATTATTTCTTCTTAAATGTGTCCGTTTTGATTCTTCGACTTTAATGCTCAACGTTTGAATTTGAGTTGACTCTGATCTTCATGGGCCTCACCCCCTTTGGCCCAAGTGTCCTTGAACCGACTTACCCGTGTCTTCTACACCGAACTCGTGTCACAGTGCAGTCACTTCGGATTCTCGAAATGGTGACAACCACTTCGACCATCCCTTCGGCTCATGGGTCCAATGGGCTTCATCCTTTATGGGCCATTATCCTGATTACGTGGCAATCTTTGGTTGGTCTCGTACTTCTGGTGCGGGATCCGACACCAACACAGATGAGTTGCAAAGGAGAAGGGCTGTTGCAGATTGTAACACACCAAGATACGACAGACAATTTGCTCTATAAGCCTTTCGCATGAGATCCGAGACCGAGCCGTCAACGGTGAAAACTCCAAATCATCGATCACATACTTTCCCTGCGTCATGTGAGATTGACTCTTCGTTTCAATCCATGAGCTTTCCCAGAAACGAAACCTCACAAGCCAAATTAAGCAAAAGGTGCAAGCTCCCTCTACCAAGTTCATTCCCAAAGTTAGCAGCGCAGAGCAAAATAAGAACCATTCACAACCACACCTGAAGCCAATAGCCCTACTAGCTCCTCTAAAGCACAGTCAAACCGCAAGCAAGAGGCAAGAAACGCAAAGCAAAGCAATCTTCAAACAAAAGCGAAATCAACGGGAAGCCACAACAGAGAACATGCCTTGAAATACACCAAAGAATTGAAATACTTGCGGAGATCTCAAAAGGAGAGGAGAGCAAGCTACCACCGATAACTAAAACCTCACCTTATCAACCACCACAGCAGCTACACAAGAAGCAAATTGAGCTACTGATTCGACGAGGGATCCTGACCCGCCACGAGAGAAACACGCTCCTAATAATCCTGCTGCTGTCCACAAGCAGAAGATGCCAACAGAGACATGAAACTCCAAAAAAGACAAGGCTCGACGAAAGAGAAAAGACAAAAAGCGCCAACTGAAGCCATGCTCTGAAAACCTATGCGAAGGAGGGCCACAAAAGAGAGGCTGAGGAATCAGAAGCTCAAAAGGGTCGAAACCCCAACAGGAGGCTGCCAAACCATCCAAAGAGCCAAAGAAAGCCTTTCGATTGAAACTCCAACACACGAAATCGACACGCACGGAGTGGACAGAGGCTTCCGGCGTGTGGGAGTAAGCTGTCCTCAAGGCGAACAACCCGACACAGTGAAACCCAGGACTCCGGCAGACACGAGCCGAAACGGGACGGTTAGACCAAGAGAGATCTTGGAAAAAATGAGTCCGAGCAGAAGAGGAGAAGCGACACCACGGCACGGCACAGCCAAGGGAAGCACTCTCGACGATCGTAAACACCAGGAAGAAGGCGATCTGGGACAGATCTACAAACAACAGCTTGCTCCGCAGCTTAAGATGCGAGACGCTAGGACCGAAAATCACAGCCTCCACCTTGATCTATCGCCGTCTACAGGCAGTAGAGGCAAAAAGCATGAGATTTCAGTCACTGGAGAAACGGTCGTCGCGCACGGCAGGCCTACGACACTCGCCACGAGAAACAGAGCCGAGTCAACTCTCGGGAGTCTTCAAGTGCAAAGATGAAACGAGACCAAGGTAACCAACAGCCCTCTCACGGCGCTGGTCGCAACCAGACACCGGAGAGGCAAGAACACGGCGGAGTTAGGGTTGTCGCAAGAAAAGCTTTGGGAGAGAAAAAATTAGGGGCGCGTGGAACTCACTTCCTCGATATCCTTTCTTTTTTGTGCTGTTTAATGTAACACACTCAAAAGTAGTAACAAACTAAGAATGGAAGATATCATCGGCGTCGTGGCTCTCGCCGCGGTTCTCCTCTTCTTCATGTACCAAAAACCGAAAACCAAACGGTACAAGCTGCCTCCGGGACCATCTCCGCTTCCGGTGATCGGAAACCTCCACTAGCTTCAAAAGCTTAACCCACAACGGTTCTTTGCTGGATGGGCCAAGAAATACGGACCAATCTTGTCATACAAGATAGGAACCAGAACAATGGTGGTGATATCTTCAGCTGAGTTAGCTAAAGAGCTTCTCAAGATGCAAGATGTCAACTTTGCCGACCGGCCTCCACACCGTGGCCACGAGTTCATATCCTACTGCCGGCGTGATCACATGGCATTGAACCACTACACACCTTATTACCGAGAGATAAGGAAGATGGGGATGAACCACTTGTTCTCACCCACACGTACGTGTGGCCACCTTTAAGCATGTACGGGAGGAAGAGGCTAGGAGAATGATGAATAAGATCAACAAGGCCGCCGATAAATCCGAAGTGGTCGATATAAGCGAGCTTATGTTGACGTTCACGAACTCTGTTGTGTGTAGACAAGCGTTCGGGAAGAAGTACAATGAAGATGGGGAAGAGATGAAGAGGTTCATCAAGATTATTTATGGGACTCAAAGCGTTTTGGGGAATATTTTTTTCTCTGATTTTTTCCCATATTCTAGTTTTCTCGATGATTTGTCAGGCCTCACAGTTTATATGAAAGAGTGTTTTGAAAGACAAGACACTTATATTCAAGAGATTGTCAATGAGACTCTTGATCCCAAGAGGTTCAAGCCCGAAACCGAGAGCATGATCGATCTCTTGATGGAGATCTACAAAGAACAACCTTTCGCTTCTGAGTTCACTGTAGATAATGTTGAATTTTCCAAGTCCAAGTCCAATTCTAATTCCCCAATAGTATGATATTGTCCGCTTTGGGCCAAGCCCGCACGGATTTGTCTTTGGGTTCCTTCCCAAAAGGCCTCATACTAGTTGGAGTTGGACTTCACTTATATATTAGACTTTTTTTTTCTAATCTTCCGATGTGGGACGTTGGTTTGACTTCAACAATCTCCCCTTCAAACCAAGGACCACATGTGGATCTTAACACGCCTCCTCGATGTTGGTGTCGGATCCCGCACCAAAAGTACGAGACCAACCAAAGATTGCCACGTAATCAGGATAATGGCCCGTAAAGGATGAAGCCCATTGGATCCGTGAGCCGAAGGGATGGTCGAAGTGGTTGTCACCATTTCGAGAATCCGAAGTGACTGCACTGTGACACGAGTTCGGTGTAGAAGACACGGGTAAGTCGGTTTAAGGACACTTGGGCCAAAAGAGGCGAGGCCCATGAAGATCAGAGTCAACTCAAATTCAAACGTTGAGCATTAAAGCCGAAGAATCAAAACGGACGCATTTAAGAAGAAATAATTGTACTTAATTACTCATTTTAAATGTCGTTTAGCTATGTATAAATATAGAGGCCAGTGGCCATGTAAAGGGGATCTTCATCTCAAGAGAGAAATATATAGCAATTTTCGTATCAATTTACAAGTTCTTACGCATTCATTTTTGTCCCTCAAGAATTATCTTTCCCACTTAACAAAATACTTGAGTGTGTGAATCCGACATCCACATTTTGGCGCCGCCTGTGGGGACATCAGGATTCTTGAGTGGTCAGATTTCTTCTTTTCTACATTTCCGAGATAAGCGACAATGTCCGGAGGAGACGCCGTTGGGACATCATTGGCCGAAACCCTCAAAGCTATGCAGCAAACCATGTCGGACATATCACAAAAGTTCTCGGATGTGGAGAAGGCCGTCGATACGTTGCAAACATCCCAGGTATCTCTTAGTCAAAACGTCAATAATATACAAACTCGTGTTCGCTCCTTAAGTGCAGGAAACCCGGTGGGAACCCGAAGAGGGATATTCAACTCGCCAAGTTCCGCTGCACAAAATGAAACCAGTGGACAAACAACTCCCGGTGCTACTAATAATGTAGCTCAGACGTCGGAAGAAGAGACGCAGCTCGGGGATGAAGAACAACTTGCAGCTCAGTACGAGCAGGAGAACCTCGACCAGTTCGAGACCATGAAGAAGGTTAGCCAGGAATTAAAAGAAATGAAATCAAAATTTCATCAGGCTACAAGTTCGGAGCCAGACATCAATCGAGTCATTGAAGAAGCTAGGCGAACCCCTTTTATCCCGCGAATTGCAAGTTTGAGGATCAAAGATTCCCGGAAGCTCAAGTTGGACCCTTACAGCGGATTGGAGGATCCAAAAAGCTATCTTGCAGCCTTTCTGATCGCTGCAGGAAGAGTCGAATTGGATGAAGCTGATGAGGACGCAGGCTATTGCAAGCTGTTTTCGGAGAATCTATGTGGCCAAGCTCTAATGTGGTTCACCCAATTAGAGCCGGGTTCGATCAGCAATTTCGACGAACTATCAGCCGTGTTCTTAAAGCAATACTCTATCCTTATGGATAAAAGCGTTTCGGATGCCGATCTTTGGAACATAACGCAAGGATCTAATGAGTCACTTCGAGTTTTCATCACCAAATTCAAAGGAGTGCTATCAAAACTCCCAAGAATCTCACAGCAATCAGCTTTATCTGCCCTACGAAAAGGATTGCGACATGATTCAAGGTTTAAAGAAGACTTAATACTTCATAAACCAGACACAATTCAGGATGCACTCTTCCGCGCAAACAATTGGATGGAGGTAGAAGACGAAAAAGAAAGTTTTGCCAAACGGAATAAACAAGAAAAGCCGGCAGTCACCGTCCCTACCAAGAAGTTCGAGCCTAGAGAGAGCAAAGGACCAAGGAAGTTCGGGTCGCAACCCTTCAACAATTCCGTCGGGAAGCAATTCCAAGGGAAAGGAAGATCAAACACTTGGGTCCGTGATGAAAGTCTATATTGCGACATTCATAAAGTAACCGGACATTTAACCAAGGATTGCAGCGTTCTTAAAAAGCACCTCGCAGAGCTTTGGGCTAGTGGCGATCTTTCTAAATTCGATATAAAAGATTTTGTGAAGGAATACCACGAAGCAAAGGAAAACTCCAAAGATCAAGATTCCAAAAGACCAAGGTTATCCAACGAGGAAGAACCAAGGAGTTCGAAGGGGAAGATCAATGTGATTCTAGGAGGTTCCAGATTTTGCGGAGATTCAATAAGTTCCATCAAAAAACATAGACGAAATGTCTTACTCAAAGCAAGCTTGAGTGAAGAAATTGATTTTCAAGGTGCTTCAATATCATTTAACGAAGAAGAAACGCGGCATCTCGAAAGACCGCATGACGATGCTCTAGTCATTACTCTTGATGTCGCAAACTTCGAAGTATCAAGGATCCTTATAGATACAGGCAGTTCGGTCGACTTGATCTTTTTAAGTACTCTACAAAAAATGGGAATCAGCCGAGGAGACATAGTAGGACCTCCGTCTCCATTAGTTGCATTCACAAGCGAATCAGCCATGTCTCTCGGGATAATCAAGCTACCGGTCCTTGCCAAAAAAGTATCGAAAATTGTGGACTTCGTCGTCTTCGATAAGCCCGCAGCTTACAACATCATCCTTGGGACTCCCTGGATTTATCGAATGAAAGCAGTTCCCTCTACATACCATCAATGTATCAAATTTCCAACATCAAATGGGGTGGAAACAATTCGGGGAGACCAAGAAGCTTCACGGACTTGTTACTTAGCTAGCCACCGTATGAAGATTCAATAGCAACTAACGAAGCCCGCAAAAGAAGGACTAAAAACAAAATTTCCTAGTGGGCAAAAGAAAGAGGATGTAGTAGTCGAAGTGGTACTGGAAGAAGACAAGCCAGACCGGAAAATTAGAATTGGAGCAACTTTGACTGACCAAATAAAAGAAGCTTTGATCGAACTCTTAAGGAAAAACAAAGCATCGTTTGCATGGTCAGCAGCGGACATGCCGGGCATAAATCCGAGTATAATTTGTCATGAACTAAACGTAGATCCAAGCTTCAAACCGGTGAAACAAAAAAGAAGAAAGCTTGGAGTGGAGCGGGCAAAAATAGTAAACGACGAAGTGGATAAACTCTTGAAGATAGGGTCCATAAGAGAAGTGCAATATCCGGAGTGGGTAGCAAACACTGTCGTTGTCAAGAAAAAGAACGGGAAAGATAGGGTTTGCATCGATTTTACAGACCTGAATAAAGCATGTCCTAAAGATAGTTTCCCGCTCCCGCATATAGATCGACTTGTAGAGTCCACCGCTGGAAATGAGCTGTTAACGTTCATGGACGCCTTCTCGGGTTATAATCAGATAATGATGAACCCCGAAGATCAAGAAAAGACGTCATTTATCACAGATAGGGGTATCTACTGTTACAAGGTAATGCCTTTTGGTTTGAAAAATGCAGGAGCAACTTACCAACGATTGGTGAACAAAATGTTTCACAATCACCTCGGGAAGACTATGGAAGTCTACATAGATGATATGTTGGTTAAATCTTTGAAGAAAGAAGATCATGTTAAACATTTGGAGGAATGTTTTGATATTCTCAATAAATATCAAATGAAGCTGAACCCGGCAAAGTGCACATTTGGAGTCCCATCCGGAGAATTTCTTGGCTATATCGTGACAGAAAGAGGGATTGAAGCCAATCCAAATCAAATTAACG